GCCTGATCTAAAACAGACATGTTTTTAATGATCTATCAACTGACATTTGGTGAACATAAAAGAATTGTGGAAAGGTGTGATGCCAAGTCACTAGAGTCATAAACTTTTACGATTTCTAGGAAGTTCACCAAATGACAATAAATCATACCTTCTTCTCTCTCACATTCGTTTCTTGGTAACCCAATAAACTCAGAACAAGGCACGTTAGAGGTTGCAACACACTGTGTATATTCACAGAATATAACATGGACAGTACATCCTTGGGGGAAGCAGGGACTTCTCCCCAGTTATGTCACACAAAGTCCCATCTAGATGGAGCTATCGAGCGACATAAAGAAAAAAATCTACTTATTTCAGAAACAGGTTTGGACATTTCTGGAGAAAATCATTTATATGCTATGTGGATTTTGCCAAAAGAAAACAGGCTGTCCTTTTTTTTAAAAAAAATATTCTCTATTTTTAAGGTTTATTTATTTATTTTGAGAGAGACAGAGACAGCACAAGGGAGGGAGGGGCAAAGAGAGGAGAGAATCCCAAGCAGGCTTTGCCCTCAGTGCAGAGCCTGATGAGGGGCTCGAACCCACAAACCATGAGATCTTGACCTGAGTCGAAACCAAGAGTCGATGTGTAACCAACCAAGCTACACAAGTGCCCCTGCTTTTTTTTTTTTAATATTTATTTTTGAGAGAGAGAGGGAGACAGAGGATCCAACACAGGCTCTGACAGCAGAGAGCCCAGTGTGGGGCTTGAACTCATGAACCATGAGAGCAAAACCACCTGAACCAAAGCCAGAAACTTAACTGACTGGGGGCGCGTGGGTGGCTCAATAGATTAAGTGGCTGACTTCGGTCGAGGTCATGATCTCGCCATTCCCGAGTTCAAGCCCCACATCATACTCTGTGCTGACAGCTCAGAGCCTGGAGCCTGTTTCAGATTCTGTGTCTCCCTCTCTCTCTGCCCCTCCCCTGCTCACACTTTGTCTCTCTCGCGTGCGCTCTCTCTCAAAAATGAATAAACATTAAAAATTATTTAAATAAAAAGAAACTAAACTGACTGAGCCACCCAGGCAAAAGTGGGCTGTGCTTTTCAAGTTCAGAGAACACTGACATTAATGATTTGTCATAATATCCAGCATGGCAGCAATATGTCGTCGCTACTCTCCAAAAAAGAACCGTGTATGGAAGGGTAGATAAGCCAGTGTTTGACTGAATAACCAAAATGAAAATGAACAGACCAGCAAGCTGCCAGGCTGCCAATCACGGTCGCACCACCAGAAAGCTGTTTTCACCCCGGGGGTAGTTCAAGTCGTAATGTAATGGACACAAATATTTTGATGAATGTCAAGACTGCTCATGGCCAAAGTGAACAAAGAAACAAAAATCATAAAATGTGCCCAAAGCTTTTAAACATCCTGAATTATTAATTCTTCAGTAGTACTCAGACTTTTTCTTTTTGTTGTTTTTTTCTTGCTTTTGGGACTCCCCAAGCCCGCAGGAACCTAGCCCCCAGCACAGCACCGCCCACTCAGCCCGGGGGCTATAGGCCATGAAAACTCCACCCGGGGTCTCCTGAATGGCTGGATATTCAGATGTTTACCCACTGATGCACCTGAGCTCACGGAAGTCTCCCACGCAACGTTTTGCTTTTCACTTGCTTCCTTGTATATGTTTGCTTTTAAGGGTCTCAAAGGAGCCCAAAGTTTTGGGAGCTCTTGTGGTATTTTGAATGCTTTCTAGAGTATTTAATGATCCTTCAAATAGTGGCAATCATAGGAAGCCATTAGGTTTTTAGTGGACTTTCTAAACATCTAGAAGCCTATTCAGAAAACTAGTTTCTTATGAGAATGCATGAGTCTGAAATAGGAGTCGGAATGATTTCCAAAGGAAAGACGTCTTAGGAGCAGTATAAAAAAGCACATGGATTAATGTCTATAAACTGGATAGAATGAGGCTACCTTTAGAGGACTGGATTTCTTATCAGCTATATTTTACAAGAGATGTTGGGTGTGGGGCGCCTAGGTGGCTCAGTTGGTTAAGCGTCCCACTTTGGCTCAGGTCATGATCTCACGGTTCATGGGTTTGAGCCCCCCATCAGGCTCTGTGCTGACAGCTCGGAGCCTGGAGCCTGCTCTGGATTCTGTGTCTCCCTCCCTACTCATATTGTGTGTGTGTGTGTGTGTCTCTCTCTTTCTCTCAAAAATAAACAATAAAAAAAGAAACCAAGAGATGTTGGGTGTTTCTATGACAAAATGACACAGTGAATGGTCTAGAAGCAAAGTCACAGGATCATGAAAACATAGAAAACAATGTAAGACTACTATGTGTCAGAAAAGAAAATTAGATTCATTCAATTTTGAAAATGAAAAATTATTGGGAGCAAATGTCATCATAGTGTCTCTTGCTTTTTCATCATTGGATCAGTTAAAAAGTGAGATCATGCATTTTCTATTATCAGATGTGTTTACATGAAAGATCTTTTCTCCACTTGCAGGATTTATGCTTTAGTTGAAAAGTTAGACCTGTATTTCCTAAGTTTCCCTTCAATGCTGGTATTCTGTGACTCTGACATGGGTCTGGGAAGGGCTCCCAGTTTCCACGTTAAGCCCCGGAATCCTGAGCATGATGACATAACCCAGCATGATCCTGCTGTGAGGCACACTTAACCTTAAGACACAGAGATTATCTGGGTGGGCCTGATGCAATCCCATCAGCCCTCGAAGGCAGAGAACTTTTTCTGGCCGGTGGCAGAAGAGAAAACAAAACAAAACAAAACAAAACAAAACAAAACAAAACAAAAAGTCAGAGCTTCCAAGCAATGGAAGGATTTGACCCACCATCGCTGACCTTGAACGTGGAGGATGCCAGGTGAGAAAGAATACGGGTGACCTCCAGGAGGCTGCCAGCAAGGTACCAGCATCCTCAGGCCCGCAAACTCAAGGAAGCAGATTCTGCCAATGATCTGAATAAGCCTGCAGGCCAACTGTTTCTTACAGCCTCAGAGGTAAGTACTTTTCCACCAATGCCTTGATTTCAGCCCAGGAGACCCAGCGCAGAGCCCTGTCAAGCCCTCCTGAGCACCTGACCCACAAAACTAAGATAACCAACGAATGCTGTGTTAGCCGCTGAGTGTGTGTGTGATGCTTGTCAGTACAAAACTAATACAGTTGGCCAAGACATTTATTAAACTCCAAAGTGAATTAATGCCCTTTGAGTGACTTTTCAGCTCTGAAATAGGGGCTATTTTTCCATCATGTGTAATCTCTCATCTATGATGTTGGTGGTCTGGGTTTTTGCCTTTGTTTCATCTGCTGAAAGCAAACTCCTGTATGTGTATTCTTAAAGAGGGAGAATAAGGCAGTCGTGTTGACTGGATTTTTTTTCTCTAACTTGTTATGAATTTGGGGGATATTATTTTCATCAGTAGCACCACAATAACAGAAACACGATAGTGCATGAACCTCTGAGATTTAGCTCTGTCTGAAATGACACGGGGCTGTCATTTCTGTGCCTAGAGCTGGAGCATATTCAAACATGCTGAGATCATGTCTCACATCACCATATCATTTCATTTGGGACGTTTGGGGTTGGGATAGCTTATTCAGTTCTTCCTGCCTTTAGTTCACTGACCCCTGATGTGCTGTTCATGCTGGTTGTGAATTGACTCTGTTGTGCATACCACGTTCTTCTTTCAATGTTATTTTTTTTTAAATGTTTATTTATTTTGAGAGAGAGAGAGAGAGCATGAGCAGGGCAGGGGCAGAGAGAGAGGGAGACACAGAATCTGAAGCAGCTCCAGGCTCCGAGCTGTCAGCACAGAGCCCGATGCAGGACTTGAAGCCACAAACCATGAGATCGTGACCTGAGTGGAAGTTGGACGTTCGACTGACTGAGCCACCCAGGCGCCTCATACCATGTTCTTCGAAAAAAATCAAACTTATTTTAAAGTTTATTACCCGCCCCCCTTTTCTTCTAAGTTTTTACAGTGTTCTTGCAAAGCTCAGGCTTCAGGTTGTGACCCAGGCTGACTCAAGACTGTCAGAGCCTTACTAGGGAGTGACAGGCACGGTGGTGCTGTTCTGGGCTGGGGGCTAACAGCACTATTCAAGGCCTTGGATGCAAACTATGAGCCGGACCAAAGATGCGCTGAGCAGGAGGCTACCTCCCTTCACTGCATTAGAAGAGACGTAAAAGAGACATTTTGATTGAGCGCAAAATATATGATGGCAGAAGTGGTCCGTGATAGCATCGTGGCCCTTCCTTCCCTTATTGTTGCACTTAGTGCATTTAATGAGGGTCTCCCCCTTGCCTGATCCGTGTCAGGTGCTGGGACGATGCAAAGTGGTAACAAAGGGAAACCGGGGGCTCAGGAACGTGCCAAGGGCGGTCGCAGACTGGCCCGTGATGTTCCGAGGGTGCCAGAAGGGGTGGCCACTTGTGACAAGTTGCTGGGGAAGGCATGTGGGGTGACACATTCGAACGTGGTGGATGCAGTGGGAGAGCCCAGGTGGAGAAGGGACATTTCAGGAAAAAGGACACAAAGATGTGGAGAAGGAGGTGAGTGAGCAAAACAGGACACTGGGCACTCGTGTGCCCGGAGATACTTCCAGAGGCCGAGCATAGGATTTGTGGGAACGACAGTTGGCAGAGGGACCAGGGAGAGAGGTGGGCCTGATTCTGCGAGATTTAGATGACATTTTAAGAAGTGCGGTATGGGGCGCCTGGGTGGCTTAGTCGGTTAAGCATCCGACTTTCGCTTAGGTCATGATCTCGCGGTTCGTGGGTTCGAGCCCCGCGTCGGGCTCTGTGCTGACTGCCAGCTCCGAGCCTGGAGCCTGTTTCAGTCTGTGACTCCCTCTCTCTCTGACCCTCCCCTGCTCACGCTGTCTCCCTCTCTCTCTCCTAGAAATAAATAAAATATTAAAAAAAAAAAAAAAAAGAAGTGCGGACAAGGAGTCGCTGAAAGGTCTGAAGCAGGGAATAAAATCCAAATGTGTCAGCACAATGCTCACTTAGGCGACATATATACTAACACTGGAGTGACACAGAGGTTAGCATGGCCGCTGTGCAAGGATGACACACACACTCGTGAAACGCTCCATATTTTTCTAAACAAACAAAAAGAAAACTAAAAACAAATGTTAGCACAGTTATATTCTAAGATGCCTCGGAGGTCATGTCTTCCTGCTCCGTAATTCATAAAGAAAATGTCAGCGATATTAATAGTAAAACGTGGGGCACCTGGGTGTGTCAGTGGTTTAAGCATCCGACTTCAGCTCAGGTCATGATCTCACGGTTCGTGGGTTCGAGCCCCGTGTTGGGCTCTGTGCTGACAGCTCAGAGCCTGGAGCTGCTTCCCATTCTGTCTCCCTCTCTCTCTGCTCCTCCCCTGCTCATGCTCTGTCTCTCTCTGAAAGATAAGTTAACATTAAAAAACAAAGAGTAAAACTTAATGTTCAGAGTCAACAGAGTCCCTGGACAGGAGGAGAAGAGCCAGGTCCCTGTGCCCAGGAGCATTCTGCTCTCTTCTTTTCCTTTCCTCCTCTCCTTCCTGTTGGATGATCAGTATTCCTTATTTTCCTATTTCTTCTGGAAATACGCAGTGAAGCTAATTCAAGCTAGGGCTGAGAAGCCCAGGACAGGGCCATGCCAAGAGCGGAGACATGACATAAAGTTCTAAAACTGCAAGCATTAGGGAAGGAGGCAAATAAGAGGAACAGCCCCCACCTGCACAGCCCGTCTTCGTGGCCACAGCGTGCTAGCGGATGGCCTAGAGACACAGACACGGGAGCCGTGGCTCCTCCCTCCGGGGGCCACCTGTAGCCACCTGTCTTCACAACAGTGGCGCCAGGCCACCGAGCTCGAGCTCCATCTCCTCCGCGAGCACTCTCTTATCACTCCGGGGCATCTGTTGCTGCGTTAAACTTCTGGAGTCCTTTCTGGCTATTCTGTTTTTCTGTAAACAATATTATTTCGTGTTTATGGCACAAATAGCTTCTTAGCTTGCAAGCGATAATAATTATGTCTTGTGCTCTACCTTTCTCCTATTTCTATTACTGCGGAGGGGCAAACAGAAGAAGAGAATGTGTTTGGTTAAAAGTAGAAGAACGTATCAGGGTGGGTCCACAGCCACAGAAAATATATTTTAATGATTCAAGGGTACACGCAGGTTTGGGGTGTAAGTCCTACGTGGAGGTCAGTAGGCCAGAGGCTGACAAGATGTATATATATAGGCTGGTGCATTACGTTCCTGATTGGCCACAGAAACAAAAGGTCCTGCCCTTCTGTAGCATCCCCTTCCTTGTAATTCTGATTTTCTAGCACATCCTCTTGACCTGCACATCATCTCCGGTTGTACTGATCTATCATGATCTATTATTACCAAGTAACCCAGATAATTTTTCCTTCTCACCACACGCTTCCCACTCAACTATTATTTGGGAGACAATGGAACCAATTACTTCACTTGAAATACGTGTAAGATAATCAGTAAGTTTAGACAGCAAATTAGACAGCATTTTCTCAAAGTAAGAGTTTGTGATTGAACTATAACTTTTAATTTCATTGGTAATTCTATTATTCCAGTTTTTGTTCTTTCTAAAGTACCCCACGGGCTTAAACTTTCTGAAAATGAGGGACTCTGGAGAAGAAGCCATTTGCTTCCTTCATGTGATCTGTCCTTGGTAATGCATCTCGGGCAGGGATGGAAAATTGCTTTTATTCTTTGTATAAAATCTGATTGACTGACTGTGACTGCCTGGAGCCTCATCTCCACTCTGGGGAGAAGAAGGCAGTGGTTGATTAGTCATGTCTGTCAGGAATGGAAGAGGGGCAAATATGTAACAACTTTGGGCAGTGGGATCTTTACTACCAGTGCCTGAAAACGAGGCTGCAATCTGTTTCTTCTTTTTTATTTCTTAATTTTATTTATTTATTTATTTATTTATTTATTTATTTATTTATTTTTAGAGAGACAGAGAAAGCACGAGAGGGGAGAGGCAGAGAGAGGGAGGAGAACCCCAAGCTGACAGCCGGGAGCCTGATGCCGGTCTCAATCACATAAATTGTGAGATCATGACCTGAGCCTATCAAGAGTCAGACGTTTAACCGACTGAGCCACGCGAGGGCCCCTGCAACCTGTTTATTCTATGACTATCACTGCTTAGAGATTTAGAAGAATATCCTAATATCTAGAGGGGAAAAAAAGGAAAAGAAGTGGCATGCATTCAAATCTCATTTTTTTAATAGAAATCTCTTGTATGATAACATTTGGCTAAGTGTCAAGACAGCAATAACCACTGCTATATATGGAGGGACAATTCCATGCCAGAAATTATTCTAGATGTTTTCCTGTGTCTAGCCATGTGCTCCATATACTCAAAGATATTAATTGTCTTAAGTATTTTCTAAAACATGAGAGACAGAAAAGGTTCAAGGGAGGTTCTTGCAAAATACACCTAGAGAAGCCCTTTTATATCATTATGTGAAGGGTAGTTTTTATATCCAAAACAACTCACTGAGAATCTTTAAGGAAGGTAATAACTGTAATCATATATTTTTTAGAAAGATTAAAGGAAATTCCAATAAAAATGAATCAGTAGATTAACACGTAGATGATCCCCCTCTCCTCTAAATATACAACTCTGAGGGACCAAATACATAAGAGTAAAGCAAAGATAAATAGGCACGCTCTTCAACAAAATCCTCAATGCCATGGACAGGAAGGGAAGGGGAGAGCTCTGAGCGAAGCTGAAGTCATCGAGTTAATGCTGCCAGGTTGTGTCTGTCACATTACTGCAAGCAGGGAATGGAGACCGTGTGTTTTCCAACACAAAGGTAAGCATGTGAAGTCAGGGCTGAAGGTGAGACTTTTCACCCCTGAAACGAGGTAGAGGGGCCAGCTGCAATGACAGTTGAGCCTACGACTTGTGTGGAACAACAGACATAAGCGGCAGGGATTCAGAGACCAGACTCAGGACCAGAGCCGACCCAGGTCATTGCTGGTCTGCACATCCCTAATCTCACCAGAGGCGGGAGCTCTGAACCACAGCAAACATCATTCTGATTGAGGAGCCTGGGAGCCTGGGCTCTGCAACCCGAAAAACAGCACATACCTGTATGTACGTGCACACACACACACAGACACACACCACACCACACATCATACCCTGCCCCCCCCCCCCACGCACCATATCACCACACCACACCTCCTACACAGTTTACAGGTTGAAGATTCTTTTACTCATAGGAGCCCACAAGTTAAATTTACTAAACTCATAAAGAAATCTCATGCTAAAAATAACAGCAAAATTAATACCAGAGGATTAGCTGAAGGCATATGATTTAAGTTTACAGAGCAGTTTGACAAAGATTTTAACATTAGGATGCACTAGAGTCTCCAGAAGATAAATAAAACAATAATGTCGGTTAAAATTTTAAAAAAGTGTGAAACATGAACAGGCAGATGTGAAATAAGAATAGGCTGCCATAAAAAGTACCAGTTAGGGAGATGGCCACCCTGAGAGATGAACTGGGAGAAGGCAACCCTTTTACAAAGGGATTTTTTTTTCTTAATAAAAAGTCTCTTTGCTAGATAACTAGAGGCATGCGTTTAAAATCATTCCCTTAATCAATTGATTAGGAACCCACTGTGTGCCCCATATGGGATGCTGTGGAAGATGAATTTTCCAGGCTTCAGTATGAGTTTGAATGTTTTCAACTGTCAGAAAGTGAAAGCCAGTTACAAACGCCTTTACACAACAGACAAATTTAGCTTAAACAATAAGAAGTCGAGGACGGAACAGCTCTAGAAGTGGTTCATTCAGAGACTCAGCAATGTCATCAAGGATCCAGGCTGCAGGGTGTTTGGGTGGCTCAGTAGGTTGGGTGTTCAGCTTTTGGTCTCAGGTTCAGGTCATGATCTCATGGTTTGTGAGATCGAGTCCCGTGTTGGGCTCTATACTGACAGTGCAGAGCCTGCCTGGGATTCTCTCGCTCCTCTCTCTGCCCATCTCCCGCTCACTCATGCACATGTGCACTCATGCACCATCTCGCTTTCTCTCAAAAGAAATAGAGAAACTTTTAGAAATGTTTAAAAGTTTAAAAAAAGGATTCAGGTTGCTTCCATCTTTCTCAGCGTGTCCTTCCCAGACCAGCTTCTCAGTGTGTCCTGCCCAGACGAACTCCCTTCGTGGTCCCAACATGGCTGCTCCAGCAATCACATGCAGGCATCAACAAGCCTACAGGACACCAGAAGGAGGAAAGGGACCATTTCTTTCAGATCTACTTCTTGACTGAGACTATTCATGGTTTACCTGGTGGAGCTAGACATGGGGCCCAGCCGACTCTGAAGACAAGGAAGGTGGGCATCAGGAAGTAAGACATAGGCATCAAATATTAGCACAGGGATGCTCATTAGTAATTCCTGCGTCACCTTAGATGCCACAGGTCCTCATGGAAAGACGCGGAAAACCAAGTCATCATAGACTGGTTTCTCCTCACACCCTCACACAGCAGCCAGAAAATATCAGGCGGCTAGAATATTCTGGCAAGAGTCTTGGGTATAAGATTTCTATAGCCGTCCCGTAAAGGAACAATGGAGGACATTCCACATCCTCCTATCTGCCAGCCCATCTCCTGGCTGATGGTTTCCTTTATGAAATGCTCCTCTTTGTCTTGTGACTAGTTTTGATCCTGAATTTGAACTTACCTTGTTTTATTTTTGTTACTTTTTTAACTTTGTTCTCCTTTTGTTTTCTCTTCGTCTCCACTTCTCTCCGTTTGTTATACCAGTTCCCATCCTTTTACCTTTGACCTCCTCCAACTCACACAGCTTTTAGAGTTTTATTCAGGCATAGTTGAGTTTTGCTTTGTGGTCTCTTGTGAGGAACTTTTCTCTTAAGAGGCAAATTTATCCTGTTTTCATCAGGAAAACGTCTTCCTTTATTTCCTTCATATTTCTATATTGTTTTCTTTGTTTTTATAATTTATTCCAATAATTTTAAGATTAAGTAAGCATACATTTGGTTACTTTGGAGGTTAACTTTTTATAATGTTAAAGTATGCACATTTTAAGTATATATGGTAGAGTATGGACATAAAACTCTAT